CAATTATAAATTGCAAATGAATCAAATTATTTGGGCACGTTACTTAATTACAATGGGACCTTTGGAAAAACTCAAACAAAAATTACAGAGCAAGGACGAAAAGCTTTATTTGCAGACCTGTGTTGTGAAAAATGTTTTGATATAGAAGCCCAATTATCGGTCTTTGATACTGTTATGAGGGTTTCTGCTGGGTTCTGTAACCTGAAGTATACCAGAAGGCTTCTTTGAGTTTCCAAATATCAATCTTTATTCATCAAATGCTGCGCCCAAAGTGACACAGCTCAACTTTGGAAACACTAGTATACCCCAAAATGGTGAGAAGTTAGATTAGCCAATCAAATTTCGATTCTTGATTACCTATCCAATCAAAAGTTATATTTTTCTCAGGTATTAACGTTAAGTCTAACTGCGCATGACAAGCGTCCTATACATGTCATAATTTGCTCTACGTAAATCCAACGTAAGCGTAAAGTCTACAATAATACCGAGCTCAATTAACGCCTATTGTAACACACGGTGGTGTCAACAAGTAACCATATAAACTGGTTTGACAATTTCTTTGATTGTAGAAATGAATACTGTTCCGAATAGCTATAAGTGAATTGCTGTAACAACATCTTAGAATTTTGTATAGAACAAAATCTCTGCCAAGACCTCTAAATTGAGCTTTACCTGACATCTTTTGTAATAGAACTTGACAAATAGACTAGCCACTAATTCTAGCCTAACAATTATACAATTAAAGTATTTTCCGCATTCTTTTACAATACAGTGTTTTGTAACATGGAACAGTTTAAAATTCTATTTCTAAATTAAAGTTTTACTTTAAATAAAAATATATAAAGTTTTTATTTGGATAAATTAATTTACTCAAAATAACTTTAATAAAAGGCGTGATAATACGTAAGTTAATAACATTCCAAGTTATGGGTCCGAAATGTGGGGCTTTCATAAAGCACCTGAGGTTGTACAAATTCCCCTGATGTTTTGTAAAAGATTATTGGGAGTTTGGAAAAATACGTGTAATAGCATAGTCTGTTTAGAACTGGGTAGGTTTTCACTGACGTCGCTAAGAAATTTCAGAATATTTAAGTATTTGATGAAATTAAAAAAGTCTGAAAATTGTATATTAAAATCATGCTATGAAGATACGTTGGAGAAGACTGATAAATAGGAGTTGGACATCAAAAAAAAATTGTATCGACTAGGTTAAGGCTACATTTGGGAAACAGATAACGATGTAGACACACAGTATAATGTAATTAGATAAAGACTTTTTGATATATTTAGACAAAATTGTAAAGAGAAATTAGAACTTCGTCAAAAGGACATATTTATACCCATCTTCATCATGACCCCGGCTACAAGGCTATCTGGAAAAAACAATAACAAGGGAATATTTGAATGAAATTACAAAAATTAGACTTTCATCTCATAATTTAAAAGTAGAAAAGGGCCGATATCAAAATATACCGAGTAATTTACGAGTACGTACCACTTGTGATTTAGATGATACAGAAAATAAGTTAAATTTTTTATTGAAATGACCTTGTTACACGGACCTGAGAAAGATATTTTTGAAAAATACAGTTATAAAAAATAATATGTTTAAACTAATAAAACTTTTTAAATGTAAAAAACACAAAATAATTTTCAAATTGTGTAATTATATTAAAGCTGTTTACGTTTTAAGAGATCAATTGAGCTAATAGTTTTCTCTCTCCGCGTCTGTATTGTGTCTGTAATCATGTGTTTGTATATTGTTATAATTGTTTTATGTAGTTACTTTTCTGTATCCGAGGTGTCAACTGACTTAAGGTAATAATTAAGGGCATTGTTGACATATCATTATGGATTCATGATATTGTCCAATAGACTGAGGGCTTTCTGAAAAAGACCAAGGGAAGTAACTCTGTACGACACGTAAATGTAAAAATGGTCAGTTACCACAGTTTTGTTTAAACAATAGGTGAAAACATATATGATCATGTAGAGTTTCTCATGTTTGTCATGTCGGCGGTGCTCTTACACAGATCGACAGTATCAACGCCTGCCATAATGAGCACAAAGACAATATAGAAAAAATTGTTATGATGACTGTCCATCTGAATTGTTTCCAAAATGCGTTTTTTAAGAAAGCGTTGATTTTCTGAAGTATGTTCGTGCATCGATTGCCACTCGTGGGAGATACATGTTACAAATCCATCTTGCCATCTGTCTTTGAGTTTGGTTTTCTTATCCAACCCTGAGGTGATCTGTGAGGTGTACATCTCAGAATAAAATGTCGTTTGGATACTTATGTCAAAGTATAATCACACAACCAACGATATATCGGACAGTTTAGTAAGTGATATAGAAACACCACTGAAAGCTGTATCCGAAATCTCCCAGAACGCTTGTACACGTTCAGATTTAATATCGCTGTGTAATCACGTTTAAAGATAAGACTTGCAAGTAAATAGGATTTCCGTTGATTTATAGTGGAAATTGACATATAAAACAGCTTCAAAATCATCAAATTGCCTTGTTGTGTTCTTTCTTATTGGGCCTATGAATCTCTGTGGGCTGTTTGGTATGAATGTAACTACACCAGTGAATTCAATTACTTGATCAGGGGATGATATACTACATGTTGTTTACCTTGTGAAATTCGATCGTGAAACTGTACGGGATTCACGATTACTAATTTTATTTTTGCTTTAAATAATCTAAACTAGATTATACATAACATACGTAGTAGATTGTAATACTCGGCTGCAATTGAATTTTTTTTTTTCACAAGTTTTAGCTTTTTCTTTATTTCAACCGAAACCATTATTAAATATACAGCTTTTTTTTTTTCACAAGTTTTAGCTTTTTCTTTATTTCAACCGAAACCATTATTAAATATACAGCTATCGTGACTAGAGTTTTAACAGAAATGGCTGCAGCCAAACTCACCCATTAATATTTCCCGTATGTATACCATCGTATCCAGGAAAGAAGTGAGTTACGTTTGTCGTAGCCTCTATCATACCAGCTTGTTTGATAAAAAGTAAAATATAATGATTTACATTGGTTATGTGTAAGATTTATCTTTAATTTATCTTTAAAACTAGTAAAGGATATGAACAAAGGATACACTTTATATGACAACATATAAGAAGCAGAAGAAAGCTCTTTGTGTTATTGACGATGTTGTTTGGGTGTAGAAAGCTCTTTGTGTTATTGACGATGTTGTTTGGGTGTAGAAAGCTCTTTGTGTTATTGACGATGCTGTTTGGGTGTAGAAAGCTCTTTGTGTTATTGACGATGCTGTTTGGGTGTAGAAAGCTCTTTGTGGTATTGACGTTGTTGTTTGGGTGTAGAAAGCTCTTTGTGGTATTGACGATGCTGTTTGGGTGTAGAAAGCTCTTTGTATTATTGACGATGTTGTTTGGGTGTAGAAAGCTCTTTGTGTTATTGACGATGCTGTTTGGGTGTAGAAAGCTCTTTGTGGTATTGACGATGCTGTTTGGGTGTAGAAAGCTCTTTGTGTTATTGACGATGCTGATTGGGTGTAGAAAGCTCTTTGTGGTATTGACGATGTTGTTTGGGTGTAGAAAGCTTTTGTGATATTGACGATGCTGTTTGGGTGTAGAAAGCTCTTTGTGTTATTGACGATGCTGTTTGGGTGTAGAAAGCTCTTTGTGTTATTGACGATGCTGTTTGGGTGTAGAAAGCTCTTTGTGGTATTGACGATGTTGTTTGGGTGTAGAAAGCTCTTTGTGTTATTGACGATGCTGTTTGGGTGTAGAAAGTTCGGGATATTTGTCCTGGCAGTGATGGTAGATGGTATACGATAATCGTGCAAGATGTCGGCAGCTGACAAAACTCCCAACACAGGGTAACGAGATATGCTAGTTATATAAAATGATTGGAAATTTATCAGTCGTCATAATCACCTTATGTGGAAATGTTATATTATACTGGGAAATATTCTTTATAAAGTTAGATATGTCGAATACCCAACAGTATACCTGTTGGTTACGTAGTTGTTTAATGTAAAATTACTTAGAGCACAATATATGTAGTGACATAGTGGGTGTCGTCGATGAAACACTTTCGAAACATCTTATACTCTATATATATTTCCATGAGGCTCTGTGTAAACCTTAATTTGTTTATATCTTGTCCCAAGTTTTTTTAAAATCCGAGTTTGGATGATGAATATGTTGTCATGTTTTTATTTTTGGTGAAGATTTCCACTAGATATCTGAATCCCTAAAGGTTAACTTTATCACACTTCTTCGTGTCAGTTTTGATATCATTCCCCAAGAGTTATCTTTGCACTTTTCCTTTATTCTTCTCATTAAAATGGAATGTTGTTTATCAGAACTAGCTGCCTTAATGAAACGAACTCCAGCGACACATGTACTCATGCAAAATTTAGCAGCTAAAACAACGAATGGCGTTGTAATAGATAAATCCTGTTTACCTGACAGACACGGTAGCTTATTGTACAGTAAAACACCAACATCTACCCAACGAACGACACCAATTAGATGGTTTCCAATGCACTTGAGACATCCGATACCCGTGCTAATTGGCTAGTGCTTTTCAAGGAATTGACGATAATTCCGCTGTGCTCAGGAAGTGTATGAGATATAATACCAATGATGTTTCTGTAGTATCGATCTCACAACTATAGTTCTCTCCTTATATAGAGTGTAACTTAAACATCTACATCTTGCTAAATATATCTCTTAGCCAAGACAACATTTAAATCGACCCATAATAAAGAGACTGGTTTCTTAAATATAACAGGAATTGTAAAACATTAAGCAGTAGATCGTGGAAATTGACATTAATTAGAGTTGATAACAATGACGACAGTTTACGTATGTTGAGATGTAAAACACTTTGTATAAAGTCACCTAATCGATTTCTATCGAGTTTGATTGACTAGAAATTTCGTATTTTTGTAACTTGTAATTTCATTGTGTGTTGTGTTAATGTTTGGTTTTTCTTCTTTTTTGTAGATATCTAGCGATATGCAGAACGCTAGAATTTAAACTGGAATCAAAAACCTGCAAGTACATCATCGTGTGTATATGGATCGTGTCACTAGCCATTATGGTGCCCTGGGCTGTGTTTTACGACATGTCGGAGTTCAGAACTTCCCTACAAGTGGTACCTATATGTATACAAAGATGGCCTAGTCCTGTATTAAAGAAAGCCTATGTGATAGGCGCTTTGTTCCTGTGTTGTTACGCCATCCCTCTCATCCTGATATGTGTGTTCTACTTGATGATTGCACTACGGGTGTGGAACAGACAACCTCCGGGTGCTAAGAACTCGAGTTCCTACATCATCCACCGCTCCAGAGTAAAGGTCGTCAAAATGATAGCTGTTGTTGTCATCATCTTTGCCGTATCCTGGCTCCCACTTTACGCCGTTAATCTCAAACTGATTTTGTTTGGTGTGGAAGATCATGAAACACAGATAATGAGCGAGATTGTGATTCCATTCGCTCAGTGGTTAGGCTCTTTCAACAGTGTTATGAACCCGGTTATTTACTGTTTCTTCAGTCGGAAGTTTAGAGACGGATTTAAAGATGTGATTACATGTTTCCGATTTCGGTTCAGGAATTCATCACACTACGCGAGGCCGAGCTTCAAAATGAAGTACCACAATCATAAGCACAGCCCGTCTCATCCAACTCACTCGTCCCTGTGTCCCAGTCCCGAAAGAAGTTATACTAACTCCGATACTTTCGTCTGATTGTATTCTACGTGAATAATTCTTCCTTGTGTCCCGAAAGAAAATGATTACTCTAACTCCGGTGCTTGTGTTCCGAAAGACAATAATGACTCTAACTCCAGTACTTCCGTCTGGCTTCATCTCATTGGAAAATTAAACAACTTCAGATACTATCTTATGTGTTCATCTTACAAAAAATATCGTCCCCTGGGTCCCGAAATTAGTTAAAGCGTTCAGCTGAACTCATTCTTTCTCGTGTCCTTTTCCGAACGAACTAGTACTCTCGATATAACAGGTGCATTGTCTATATACGTTGACATTTGATTGGATTCATGTAAAGCTAAGTACAGTATGTGATACCCGAGTACAGTGTGACTCGGTAAAAAGAGTATACAAAAAGTAAATAAAACACCTTTTATTACATATTTAGTGTTAGATACAGTAGAGTCAATCAAGTAATGAAAGTGCAACCTACATCTGTTTCGTCCCTCTAGTGAACATCCATACAGCTACCCAGCAGGGAATTTCAACCTACATCTGTTTCGTCCCTCTAGTGAACATCCATACAGCTACCCAGCAGGGAATTTCAACCTACATCTGTTTCGTCCCTCTAGTGAACATCCATACAGCTACCCAGCAGGGAATTTCAACCTACATCTGTTTCATCCCTCTAGTGAACATCCATAAAGCAACCCAGAAGGGAATTTCAACCTACATCTGTTTCGTCCCTCTAGTGAAGTACTCTCCACCATACAGCTACCCAGCAGGGAATTTCAACCTACATCTGTATCATCCCTCTAGTGAACATCCATACAGCTACCCAGCAGGGAATTTCAACCTACATCTGTTTCGTCCCTCTAGTGAACATCCATACAGCTACCCAGCAGGGAATTTCAACCTACATCTGTTTCATCCCTCTAGTGAACATCCATAAAGCAACCCAGAAGGGAATTTCAACCTACATCTGTTTCGTCCCTCTAGTGAAGTACTCTCCACCATACAGCTACCCAGCAGGGAATGCACCAGTATAAACGTCAGACATCAGATATGTTTGTTGCTGTATGTAAATCTTCGAATATTATCGTAGTCTATTACTGATGTCTGAAAGATGACCTATTTTCATATCAAACAAAACTATTGCGAGATTGCTGTTTTTACTGGGGTGGTCGAAAATGATCGTTAAAGTCTTTTTTGCGCAGAATATTGTGACAGCTTTGCATGCTTTAACACTGAGGATATCGCTGTTTTGTAGGTTGCTTACTGATATTGTCATCGTAAATCCTATATATATTCTACCATAGGCACGAATTAAATTTTGTTTAACTTGTCATTCTTTTTCAAAGTTAATACACTCTCCTTAGTGCACACCAGTCGGGTCTGCATCACAAATTGGCTAAAGTCTCCATCACATGTGTTTTTAACAACATTCACAGCCGATTGTCGGACTATAGGTTATGTATGTGAACACAACAATAATACAAGACAATAAATTCTGTGACAAAATTATAACTCTACTAAACACCCCGTCCATGTTTTTCTTTCCATAACAACAAAACTTTCAGTTTAAATATCAAGAAACGGATTCATACACTACCAATAGATTCAACATACATGATTAGGGGACACAGATGGTCCTACTATAGACAGTACATTATTATAATTTGTATAAATCATTATATATTAAACTGCACTTCATATAAAATACTTGTATCTAAAAGTTTCCTTATTAAAATTCAACGACTATTCTAAATTTTTTCAACCTTTTATTACATTTTTCTATTACTACTTATATGTCATAACATTCAATCTTATAGACGCTACTGGTCGGTAAACCTAAACAAGTATTACTTACAATAAACGTGTAAGGTTGTTAGGAATCATCCTATTACAATAAACGTGTAAGGTTGTTAGGAATCCTCCTATTACCTACAATAAACGTGTAAGGTTGTTAGGAATCATCCTATTACAATAAACGTGTAAGGTTGTTAGGAATCCTCCTATTACAATAAACGTGTAAGGTTGTTAGGAATCCTCCTATTACAATAAACGTGTAAGGTTGTTAGGAATCCTCCTATTACCTACAATAAACGTGTAAGGTTGTTAGGAATCCTCCTATTACAATAAACGTGTAAGGTTGTTAGGAATCCTCCTATTACAATAAACGTGTAAGGTTGTTAGGAATCCTCCTATTACAATAAACGTGTAAGGTTGTTAGGAATCATCCTATTACAATAAACGTGTAAGGTTGTTAGGAATCATCCTATTACAATAAACGTGTAAGGTTGTTAAGAATCCTCCTATTACCTACAATAAACGTGTAAGGTTGCTAGGAATCCTCCTATTACCTACAATAAACGTGTAAGGTTGTTAGGAATCCTCCTATTACAATAAACGTGTAAGGTTGTTAGGAATCATCCTATTACCTACAATAAACGTGTAAGGTTGTTAGGAATCCTCCTATTACCTACAATAAACGTGTAAGGTTGTTAGGAATCATCCTATTACAATAAACGTGTAAGGTTGTTAGGAATCATCCTATTACAATAAACGTGTAAGGTTGTTAGGAATCATCCTATTACAATAAACGTGTAAGGTTGTTAAGAATCCTCCTATTACCTACAATAAACGTGTAAGGTTGTTAGGAATCCTCCTATTGCCTACAATAAACGTGTAAGGTTGTTAGGAATCCTCCTATTACAATAAACGTGTAAGGTTGTTAGGAATCATCCTATTACAATAAACGTGTAAGGTTGTTAGGAATCCTCCTATTACAATAAACGTGTAAGGTTGTTAGGAATCATTCTATTACCTACAATAAACGTGTAAGGTTGTTAGGAATCCTCCTATTACCTACAATAAACGTGTAAGGTTGTTAGGAATCCTCCTATTACAATAAACGTGTAAGGTTGTTAGGAATCATCCTATTACAATAAACGTGTAAGGTTGTTAGGAATCATCCTATTACAATAAACGTGTAAGGTTGTTAGGAATCATCCTATTACAATAAACGTGTAAGGTTGTTAGGAATCCTCCTATTACCTACAATAAACATGTAAGGTTGTTAGGAATCCTCCTATTACAATAAACGTGTAAGGTTGTTAGGAATCCTCCTATTACAATAAACGTGTAAGGTTGTTAGGAATCCTCCTATTACCTACAATAAACGTGTAAGGTTGTTAGGAATCCTCCTATTACAATAAACGTGTAAGGTTGTTAGGAATCCTCCTATTACAATAAACGTGTAAGGTTGTTAGGAATCATCCTATTACAATAAACGTGTAAGGTTGTTAGGAATCATCCTATTACAATAAACGTGTAAGGTTGTTAAGAATCCTCCTATTACCTACAATAAACGTGTAAGGTTGCTAGGAATCCTCCTATTACCTACAATAAACGTGTAAGGTTGTTAGGAATCCTCATATTACAATAAACGTGTAAGGTTGTTAGGAATCATCCTATTACCTACAATAAACGTGTAAGGTTGTTAGGAATCCTCCTATTACCTACAATAAACGTGTAAGGTTGTTAGGAATCATCCTATTACAATAAACGTGTAAGGTTGTTAGGAATCATCCTATTACAATAAACGTGTAAGGTTGTTAGGAATCATCCTATTACAATAAACGTGTAAGGTTGTTAAGAATCCTCCTATTACCTACAATAAACGTGTAAGGTTGCTAGGAATCCTCCTATTGCCTACAATAAACGTGTAAGGTTGTTAGGAATCCTCCTATTACAATAAACGTGTAAGGTTGTTAGGAATCATCCTATTACCTACAATAAACGTGTAAGGTTGTTAGGAATCCTCCTATTACCTACAATAAACGTGTAAGGTTGTTAGGAATCATCCTATTACAATAAACGTGTAAGGTTGTTAGGAATCATCCTATTACAATAAACGTGTAAGGTTGTTAGGAATCATCCTATTACAATAAACGTGTAAGGTTGTTAAGAATCCTCCTATTACCTACAATAAACGTGTAAGGTTGTTAGGAATCCTCCTATTGCCTACAATAAACGTGTAAGGTTGTTAGGAATCCTCCTATTACAATAAACGTGTAAGGTTGTTAGGAATCATCCTATTACAATAAACGTGTAAGGTTGTTAGGAATCATCCTATTACAATAAACGTGTAAGGTTGTTAGGAATCATTCTATTACCTACAATAAACGTGTAAGGTTGTTAGGAATCCTCCTATTACCTACAATAAACGTGTAAGGTTGTTAGGAATCCTCCTATTACAATAAACGTGTAAGGTTGTTAGGAATCATCCTATTACAATAAACGTGTAAGGTTGTTAGGAATCATCCTATTACAATAAACGTGTAAGGTTGTTAGGAATCATCCTATTACAATAAACGTGTAAGGTTGTTAGGAATCCTCCTATTACCTACAATAAACATGTAAGGTTGTTAGGAATCCTCCTATTACCTACAATAAACATGTAAGGTTGTTAGGAATCATCCTATTACAATAAACGTGTAAGGTTGTTAGGAATCCTCCTATTACCTACAATAAACGTGTAAGGTTGTTAGGAATCCTCCTATTACCTACAATAAACGTGTAAGGTTGTTAGGAATCCTCCTATTGCCTACAATAAACGTGTAAGGTTGTTAGGAATCCTCCTATTACCTACAATAAACGTGTAAGGTTGTTAGGAATCATCCTATTACAATAAACGTGTAAGGTTGTTAGGAATCATCCTATTACAATAAACGTGTAAGGTTGTTAAGAATCCTCCTATTACCTACAATAAACGTGTAAGGTTGTTAGGAATCCTCCTATTGCCTACAATAAACGTGTAAGCTTGTTAGGAATCATCCTATTACAATAAACGTGTAGGGTTGTTAGGAATCATCCTATTACAATAAACGTGTAAGGTTGTTAGGAATCATCCTATTACCTACAATAAACGTGTAAGGTTGTTAGGAATCCTCCTATTACAATAAACGTGTAAGGTTGTTAGGAATCATCCTATTACCTACAATAAATGTGTAAGGTTGTTAGGAATCATCCTATTA